CTAAAGGCAAATAGCCTGGATGGGTTGCCTCAACTCCACTGAACCCAGAAATCTGGATTCTAGGAGAATTGAAACAGTTTCTCAATGGATACAATTTTCCTTCTTAAACTAGGCTTTAGCCTAATTCTTAGTCATCTACTTGTTCCACTTTTAAAATATATGTGTATGAGAGAATCTTATGGAGATACACATGAATGCTTGCAGTTTGCAGTATGGGAATAAGCCATTCCCACATTGAGCATTATTGGGATGATGTTTGCATTTCTGAACAGAGCTGAATCCAGGTAAGGAAAAGCAAACCCTTTAGAGAAAGAAAGTTTAAACTCTTTCTCAGTCATTACAAGAAAGTACAGCTTACACAGAAGCAGCAGAAATTAACTGATTATGAGCATCTGCTACTTTTGGTGATATGCTTTAGATAGCATAGTTCATTCTCGTTCTTGGGCTTTCTTCATAAGCTGACAGAAATTCTAACTTAAGGATAGGAATTGTCCTATATGGTAGAAATTTTTAATTCTACATTGGTGAAGACTGACTAGATTACAGGTTCCACCTACCCAAACTTGTATTATAATCCACTGCCACTGGGTTGGATCCGACTCATAGTGACCTCTCTGTAGGTTTCCAAGGTGGTATCACTACGAAAGTAGATTGCCCAGCCTTCCTCCCAAGGAGTGGCTGGTGTGTTTTGCTTTGTGGTTAGCAGTCAAATGCCTCAGGAACTTCGTCACCAGAGCTCCTAACTTGTAGTATACATAGATTTATTTATTTATTTATTTATTTGCCTAATTTCCCTATAATCCTAGACACTCAAAAAATTAAAAAAATGAAACACTGCCATTGAGTTGATTCCATCTCACAGTGACCCCCATTGGGTTTCCAAGACTGTAAATCTTTATGGAAGCAGGCTGCCCCATCTTTCTTTAGCAGAGCAGCTGGTGGTTTGAAACTGACCTTTTGGTTAGCAGCCAAATGCCTTAACCACTCCACTGCCCAAGACACTCCAAATTCTAACTTTATTGAGAGCAATTGGATGCTTCCAATTATAAAATCAGAAAGACAGTACTATTGTGATAGAAGATCAGACTCAGAAATAGACAAAAGCTTCCATTACTATTCATATTGCCTGAACTGAAGCAAAACAAACTTCACAGGCATTAACTGAAACTGAGAAAGATCAGAAGTTTTGGAGAAAAGCAGGCAGAGTGAAACATGGGTTCTGTAGTTAAATGGTTTATGTTACATCTCAACTCTCTAGTTACTGTGTTATTCTGGGAAAATTACTTAAATTCCTATGTCAGTTTCTTCATCTGTAAAATTTTCAGAACAGTGACTGACACAGTAAGCAACTGTAGGACAAAGAACTGATTTGACCTTTTATCTCTGGTTTCTGAAAATAGCTTTTGAAACAGCCAGAGCAAGTAAGATGTTCTTTGTTTTCTAAAATCAGCCAACACTTGAACATGTGTAAATACGTAGGGGGCTTCACTTGGCTCCACTCTGGCTATAAGCCTCAGGAAGGGAGGGAGTATGATGTACTCAGTCATGCATATTCATTAACTGAATTTGCATTAAGATCACATTATGCATATTTGCTAAGGTCCTAATAACTAAGGGACCCTGGGCCTTGGATCCTTTTCTTTGGGAACATCCATGAACTGTACAGGATGGCACGTCCCTGGGGACAATCGAGGCCCTATGCCAGGAATTCTCCAGTCCTTGCTTGATGTGTTTCTTCCCTTGTATCCTTTTTGGTTATAATAAATGGGTAACTATAAGTATGGGTAATGTTATTGCTGCTTGCTGTTGAGTGTATTCTGACTCATTAGCTACCCCATAGGACACAGTAAAACACAGGTTCCTAAGCTGAAATCTACAGGAGCAGAGCACCAGATCTTTTCTTCTGCAGAGCTGTTGCTGACCTTTCCATTCATTAGCAGTTGAGCACTTAACAATTGTGCCATCAGGGTTCCTTAAGTATATGTAATAAAAACCAAACCCATTTGATGACAAGTTTATTCCGAATCATAGTGACCCTATCTCACTCACTGCCGTCAAGTTGGATCCGACTCATAGAGACCCCTCCTTGGGTCTCCAAGGCGATATCACTACAGAAGTAGATTGCCCCATCTTCCTTCCGAGGAGTGGCTGGTGGGTTTGAACCACCACCCTTCTGGTTAGCAGTCAAATGCCTTGGTTGTTGTTGTTATATGCCATCGAGTCTGACTCATAGCGACCCCTCCTTGGGTTTCCGAGGCAGTATGACTATGGAAGTAGATTGCCCCATCTTCCTTAGCACTATGTTACCAGAGCTCCCTCCCTATAGGACAAAGTAGAACTGCCCCATAGGGTTTCCAAGGCTATAATCTTTATAAAAGCAGACTGCCACATCTTTTTTCTGTGGAATGGCTGCTGGGTTTAAACCACCAACCTTTTGGTTAGCAGCCAACGCTTTACTACTGTGCCACCAGGGCTTCTCAGAATTATAGGTTATAAGTTTCTGTGAATTTTGTAAGTCATTATAGAGGTAGCATAGTGCCTAAGGCACTTGACTGCTAACCAGAAGGCTGGCGGTTCAAACCTACCAGCCACTCCTCAGAAGGAAGGTTGGGCGATCCTACTTCCGTAGTGATACTGCCTCGGAAACCCAAGGAGGGGTCGCTATGAGTCAGGGCCAACTTGACAGCAAATAACAACAACAACAACATAGAGATTTAATGAACCAAATCCAAAAGGGCAATGAGACTCCAACTTAGCTTGAAGTAGGTAATTCAGAGAAGGGCTACACAGGCATTCTAAAGGACAGTCCTAACTCATGAGGAGCCAGCTTTGGATGGCTGGTGAACAGAAGAGACTGCATAGGCAGTGATTTGTGAAAACCCAAGTCTGGGTGGCTGGGTGAGAGAAAGGCTGCACAGGCAGTGGAAGAAGGATAGAGCCCTTCTAGCTTGTGACCTAGCTAGCCCCAGGGGACTAACGCAGGGAGGGGGTGACTGGTCTGGAGTGAAGGAGTTGTGCAGACTCACGAGCCTCCATAGTATCTGATGATCTGGCTCCAGGTGGCCAAGGATATTTTGCTGTAACTCTGAGTGGTTAGGATGAGAGAGTAGGTGCTGTGTAACGTGTCTGATGACTAGGATTATAAAGAAGGTGAGGCCATTAATTGGATTCATGATGAGTCTTGCCATGCAGTTAATGATAAAAGTGGTGTTTGTCCACCTTGTCCCTTTGATAGTGCCATTAGTGACAGCAGAACAGCAATCAAATGTTTCAAACAAGATACTGCAAATGAAAACAAAATTTTCAGTAATCATTAATTACTAATATAAAATACATGAACTTCCACTGATAATCTTTATTTTAAAAGGATTTTTATAAGTTCTCTTATGGTGCAAGTTCCGGGTGGTGCAAGTGGTTAACCTTCTTGGCTGCTAACCAAAGGTTAGAGAGGTTCAAGCCCACCCAGAGGTGCTTCAGAAGACAAGTCTAGCAGTTGCTTCCAAAAATAGAAGCCATTGAAAATCCTGTGGAGCACAGTTCTACTCTGACACACGTGAGGTTGCTATGAATTGGAATGACTCAACAGCTTCTGGTTTGATTTTCTTATAAACTGTAATCCCCTTCTTTACCCTGTTTTCCCCATAAAATAAGAAAGTCTTCAAAAGTTTTAGCCACAAATATTCTTCCATAGTGTTTTTTTAGGAATATTAACTTTTAGATGGGGAAGTAATACTGAACCTAGATGCAAAAGCAAATATACAGAGCAAGTATATGTTCATTAAATAATTAGCATAACTGAACTTATCCTAAGTCTTTTCTCTTAGATTTAGAATCAGTTTGATTTGAATCCTACCCTATCTACTTTTCATCCAGTTATCAGTATTTACAGAGCAACTTCATTGGGCACACAATGATGAGCAAAACACACATAGCCCTTAGTCTTACAGAGCTAATATTCTACTAGCTGGTTTGTTTGTTTGCAGCCATCACTGCTGTTTCCAAAACTTCTTCATTACCCCAAACGGACACCCTGTACCCATTAAACAGTAACTCCCCATTCTATTAACTTTTTTAGCTTGAACAAATTTTACCTTACCAAGCCTTACTTAGAAAATGTATGCGATAACTCCCTCATAGAATTGTTTGGATGATTAAATGAAGTAATACTAAAAGAATGTAATACTGGAACATAATAGGCAATCGCATTTTAATCCCTTTGTCATCTATAGTGAATGCACAACATACACAACCAACAACCAATGGGAAAAGAATAGAGTATGGATTAAAACTTATATAATAATATAATGAGTTACTTTCAGAGTTTTTTTTTGAAAATTTATAATTTGGGAAGCTATAAAACTTGGTACTAATATCTAAGAATGGAAATCTTAATGAGGGTAAATATGTGGGCATAAAGTTTAAAACTTTTATCTTTTTAATGATAATTTCACAAAATTTATAAAACTTACTAATAATGATTATAAAAGCTATAATAGCTATCAAGTCATTTAATGGTCTTAACCTATGAAGTAGCTGCTGTTATTTCCAAAATACTTAGCCTAAGGTACTTGACTGCTAGCCAGAAGGCTGGCGGTTCAAACCCACCAGCCACTCCTCGAAAGGAAGGTTGGGCAACCTACTTCCGTAGTGATACTGCCTCAGAAACCTAAGCAGGGGTCGCTATGAATTGGATCCAATTCGACGACACATAACAACAAGAACAATACTCTAAATGAGAAAACTGAGCCAGAGAAATTATTTACCTAAAGTCACAAAGATACCCACATTTATCCAAGGTAGAGCTTGGATTAGAAAATCTGGGCAGTCTGCTTCCAGAGTTCATGCTTTAAACTAAACTACTATGCTATACTGCCTCAAAAAAAAACAAGAGTTTTTAAACACTGCCCCAATATTCAAATTATTCTAAATCTTTTTTTCATTCTGCTCATTTATTCAATGAGACATTTATATTCCGCTTGTTTTTCTTTTAATTAGCTGTCATGGATGCACTAGTGGAAGATGATATCTGCATTCTGAATCATGAAAAAGCCCACAGGAGAGATACAGTGACTCCAGTCTCAGTATATACTGGAGATGAGTCTGTTGCTTCACATTTTGCCCTTGTCACTGCATATGAAGACATCAAAAAACGACTTAAGGATTCAGAGAAAGAGAACTCTCTGTTAAAGAAAAGGATAAGATTTTTGGAAGAAAAGGTAATTGTGTTTTACCTTCATTATGTTTTTTGAGATAAAGAATAATTAAGAATATTTCAAATTTTAAGTATTTTTCTATCCTTTCTGCCATGGTTATACTAAATTTCCAAGCATCATTCACTGCTAATCTCAACACCTTGGGTATTATAATTAGTCACAGTATCTTTCACATACCATGTGATCAGTAATATGTGTGGAATAGGATTTAATAACTTGGATATATTCCAAATATTTTCCTTTCTTCTTTTCTGAGATCCCTTACATTCATAACTGTATGTATTTTATTCAGATTTTAAAAACCTGTGCAAAACTAAATAACTTATCAACAAAGAAATGTTAAGTCAAAGGCAGAAGCTTCTCTGAATATTATTCTAATACGCTTAATAATGGGAGCTCTAGTGGCTTAGTGCCTTAGGTATTTGACTGCTAACCTCGGAAGGAAGTTTGGGCGATCTATTTCCATAGTGATACCGCCTCAGAAACCCAAGGAGGGGTCACTGTGAGTCAAGTCCAACTCGACGGCACATAACAACAACATGCTTAATGCTAATTTCTTCACAAAGAGTGAAATTTCACCAGGATTTTTACTTTCTTTACCTCAACTTTTTCTTTTGATCTTGGGCACACACAATATGAATACTATTTTCAACTGATAAATTAATGTTCTCTTTTTACCTTTTTAAGATGCTCTGGTGTGCAGTGGATAAGGCATTTGGCTGCTAACCAGATGTCAGTGGTTCAAACCCACCAGCTGCCCCATGGGAGGAAGAGGAGGCAATCTGCTTCTATAAAGACTTAAAGCCTTGGAAACCCTATGGAGGTCACTCTGAGTTGGAATCAACTTTTGGAAGTGGGTTTTTGAGTTTACCTTTTTGTGTAGAAACTTGATACTCCTAAATGTTTTATAATGTATAAACAAGATGGTGGTGGTATTTTGTGCCACTGAGTTGATTTTGACTTACAGCGACCCCATATGAGAGTGAAACTGCCCCATAGGCTTTTCTGGGTTCTAATCTTTATGGGATCAGATTTTCAGGTCTTTCTCCAGCAAAGATGCTGGATGGATTTGAACAGCCAACCTTTTGGTTAGCAACCACATGCTTAACTGTTGCACCACCAAGGCTTCTTTATAAACAAGGTAGCTGATTCAGTACAAATCACCAGAACTGCTTGGCTCTGTATATTGAGAAATCTTCCTCACTCATCCATTTGCTTTTGAATTTTAAAGTTTTGCTTTAGCTTAGTTTATATTTCTGCAGGTATTTATAAGCAGCAGCTTCCACAAAGGAAAGAGAAATGGATTCTCAGCAGCCAAGAAAATGAATTAGTCTGTTACAGAAACTTGGGGATGGGACTTGGTAGAGTTAGAGAAGAGTCATTTGTAAAAAAACAACCATAATTTCTTTGCGTTCCTATGAATTAATTCTTTGCTCTAACAGTGATTGAATACATTTGTGACATACTGGGATGGAGTGAAAGAATTAGCATTCTGGAGCTTATAGCTATGTTTATTTGAAATTCCGTAGAAATAATGATTTGGGGTACATTTAACATTGGAAGTGTTTCTGCACTTTGTGACCAACAATCTAATCTTATCCTGTTCTAGAAAAATACAAGATTTAATGAACTAACATATCTATTCCTTAAAAGTCAAGTATACTTATATTTTAACTTGATACTTTTCTGATGATGGAATTTTGGTACCGATGGCTTGAAGAGACATACGAATGTCAGAAGAATGAGGTTTTGTGATATATTATGATGAATTAGTATGTTATAAAACATGCTACAAAGTATAAAATACTGCTTTAGTGAAAGGTTGGAATAAAAGGCTTTTAAAAATATTCTACTCTTATGGCATAGTGCCTAAGGCATTTGAGTGCCAACCAGAAGTCTGGCGGTTCAAACCCAACAGTCACTCCTCAAAAGGAAAGTTGGGCAATCTACTTCTATAGTGATACCGCTTCGGAAACCCAAGGAATGGTCGCTGTGGGTCACATCCAACTCCACGGCAGTGAGTTTGGTTTGGTTTGGTGTTTGTGAGTGTGTATGTGTTTGTATGCTTTCTTAATCGGTATAGATTAATTATATGGAAGTGATATGTGTTCACTTTATCATGCTATTTTGACTGCTGACTCATAGCAACCCTGTGTGTTTCACAGTAGAACTGTGCCATAGGGTTTTCTTGACCATAATCATAATGGAAGCAGAATGCCAGCTCTTTTTTCTGTGGAGCTGCTGGGTGGGTTCAAACAACCAATTAGTAGTAGCCAGTGGCAAACTGCTTATGCCACTTTGCATTACAGTAATTAAAGTAAGATGTGGACCCATGAAAAGACTGAATTATTTTTTATTCAGAATAACCTTTTAAGAATATATTTTCTCTTCTAATTTTATATGTTAGCTTATAGGAGCTCAGTTAGATGAAGAAACAAGTTCTGTGGGACGAGAACAAGTAAATAAGGCCTATCATGCATATCGAGAGGTCTGCATTGATAGAGATAATTTGAAGAGCAAATTGGAGAAAATGGTAAGTTGGTTTAAAAGAATATTATCTACATATTGCAAATAAGTTTTCTCATTCAAGAAATTTAAAGTTAGGCATAAAAGTTGAAATATTTACATTTATTAAATAAAACCATTTAAAACACAGATAATTAAGGCAAAAATGAGATTTTCATAATAGTATTTGTAACTTATTTCTATATACAATAAATACTTAGCAGGCAATGATGCCTGAGACTTGGTGGAGCAGTAGTTAAATGTTTGCCTGCTAACTCAAAGGTCAGTGGTTCAAACTCACCACCTGCTCAGTAGAAAAATGATGTAGCAGTCTGTTTCCCTGAAGATTTACAGCCTTGGAAACCCTTAAATAGATCTAGCACTACTAACATGGTTATAATGTGTCATTATGTTAAAAAGAAAAAAAGCCAGTGAATGAAATATGTCCTAAGTTAGGAAAAAGAGGGAAAAAAAGATTTAATAAGAAGGAAGTTTATTTTCCATCTTGATTTTAAAGGGTAGAATGATTTTTTTTTTTCCATATCTACTGTAAAACAAAGATAAAATACCAACCTGTTGAGTTTATTGAATGTAACCTGGCATTTTCCCTGCTCAACTAGAATAAAGACAACTCTGAATCTTTGAAAGTATTGAATGAACAGCTACAATCTAAAGAAGTAGAACTCCTTCAGCTAAGGACAGAGGTGGAAACTCAGCAGGGTATGCCATTTACTTGCTATAAATATTCTGACAGAATTAATGCATTTGTCCATTTTTATATTATATCCATTATCAGTTTTCTACATCTCTTATCTAAGGCCTTATTTGTAAATTTTTAAACTTATATTAATTCCTCTGTTCTTATCAACTTGTTTTAATTTTCTCTTATATATAAACTCCATTTTTTCTGAGAGAAAACATAAAATATTTTTATTCAGGGCTAGTTTGTGTGTAGAGAAGGAGAGGAATAGACCCCTGTCCTGAACAAAATCTCCAAGCTTTCCCTTCCTACTGAACCTTTGTCTACACTGTCATGGAATAGTTGCCATTGCTTTTCTATTTATTTATTTATTTCCTTTCTGAAGGTTGTTAGATGCAGATGAGATCTTAGGAGGAAAGTCAAATCAGAAGGATATGGCTGTTAGCCTTTACCCATGAACTAAAGCATGGGCCTTTAAGAGACATATTGATAGGAGTTGAAATCTCAGGATAGCTGGTTGGAGGTGTTTCTAGATAGATGAAAGTACTGAATATTGGATTCAAAGTCAAGAATAAATAGTGTTCGGTAGTGTCCAATAGTGTGTTACTTTGGATTGTTTATGATAAAATTGATTTGATATCATGTTATTCAGTATTCCAATGGTTAAACTTTATTCCCCCTGAAGGGACTAGTGTAATTAGCTGAGTGAGCCTCAGTTTATTATTTTTATCACTGCTGTAAACTTTGCTTATGCAAAATAGGAGATTACTGATCTGTGTACAATTCTAGCATTTGCTTGATTAGTGTAGGATCTTTTAAAATTCCAGACTGGCAAATTTGTACTTTAACCTAAACGTAAAATGGGGTGGGATGGATGTGACTAATACATTCTAAACCAAAATTACTAGATTTCTTATTCTCATTAGCATAGATTTTTGAAAGTTATTACTTTACTATTATTATTTTTAATTATTGTACATGTTTCATGTTAGCATTTCTATTATCCTTACTAGCATAATTTTCTTAGGATTGCAATCAGTATAGAAAACAGAGGTAACTGTTTTAATGTCCATCCTTTTTGTAGTGATGAGAAATTTAAATCCACCTTCATCAAACTGGGAAGTGGAAAAGTTGAGCTGTGACCTGAAGATCCATGGTTTGGAACAAGAGCTGGAACTGATGAGGAAAGAATGTAGCGATCTCAAAATAGAGCTACAAAAATCCAAACAAACGGTACTAAAGAATTACTAAATTGAGAGATTCAGTATTCTGTGTGTATTATGTAAGATTTATAATTAAATAAAATGCCCTGGTGGTGCACCAGTTGAACTCCTTTTCATTTGATTTCCTTAAATAGTTTTTTCTCTTTAAAATTTAGAGAACTTAGCTTTCAAATTTCCCATTTTATTTAACTTAACATTTTGATCATCCTAGACACTCCAAGAGAAAGCTTGGCTTTTAGAATTTTTAAACAATTACACACACACACACACACACACACCAAATTTTACAGAGCTAACTTACTCAGAAGTGTTCATAAATTTTGGGCACGTTTAACTACCAGCAGACACCTGACAATTGAGGAAATGGGGAGAGGGGGAAGCCCTTGCTGAGTTGCTAAAGTGTGGTTAGCCTAAAGGAGCTCTGGTGGTACAGTGGGTAAAGCATTCATCTGCTAACCAAAAGTCAGTGGTTTGAACCCACCAGCTACTCCACAGGAGAAAGATGAAGCATTCTGCTTCTGTAAAGATTTATAGCCTTAGAAACCTTATGGGGCAGTTTTTCTCTCTCCTATAGGGTTTCTCTAAGTCACAATCAACTTGATGGCAGTTTGTTTTTGGTTTGGTTAGTTGAAAGTCATACACTAAAATACAAGCTGCTTCTCAGGTCCTCTCCAAGAATCTATTTACTAATACTTTACATTCAGTTCTAACAAGCTTGATTATGTCTGCAGATATCATGACAGATCACACTGAGCATATAAAAGAAGAATTGATACAGAAATAGGGAAATGTGAGAGCAGTACACCAAATGCAAAATTTAAAATAGTTGTTACAAGAAATTGAGACACTCAGTAGTCTGAAATCAGATAACCATATGCTTTCGCAGCTCTGTGGACATTCACTGGAGTCTGGTGGCACAGTGAATAAGTGCTTAGCTGCTAACTGAAAGTTTGGTGGTTCTAAGTCACCGGCCACTCTGCTTCATGGGAGAAAGATGTGGCAGTCTTCTGAAACAATTACAGCTTTGGAAACCTTATGAGGCATTTCTACTTTGGCCTGAAGAGTCAGTAAGAGTTGAAATAGAATCAACAGTAATGAGTTTTTGGTTTTGTATTTCATTTTGGTTTTGTAATTCATGTATTTCAGCTAAGATAACCAGTTGTATTATTGTTTCTCAGTTCAACCATTTTGCCTACCAAAATACTCCAGTACTGTTGAGGAGCTGTGTGTCCCCCTTAGATTTCCTGTGAAATGCCACCACCTGAAAGAACTACTTCCCCAGATTCCTGACTGGAACTAGGACTCTGCTTCTAAATCCCAAGCATCCTTAGAAGGAGCTGAAACTACTTCTGTGCTCCAGTTTTATCACAGTTGACCATCAGATAAGAATGATCCAAGTATTAAGAATAAAATACCATTCTTCCTTGGCTTTGATAAAATGAATTCCTCTGAACTGAGCAATGAGAATTTGCTTTGGATCCCTGGTGAAAAAAAAAGCACCTATTATAAAAAGTACTGTTAATACCTGTTAGACCTAAAATGCTTTTTTCCTGTTAGAATTAGAAGTTAATTTTCCCAGCTTTCAGTCTGTGGCCATACTCCCAATTCCATCAAAGGCTCCCAGCATCTTGTTCCAAAAGCCCAGGCACCTTAGCCCCTAGTGGCTTCATAAAAAGATGTAAGAGAAGTCCTACACTGTGAAGCTGTGAAACATAGCTGTTATAACACATACATTCTATTAGAAAGGTAGTAATTTGACAACTTTTATACATAATGTGTATTGCACTGCAGAGTAGGAAGCAGTACTAGTTAAGAGTACTAGCTTTGGAATCAGAAAAGCCAGGCTCATAATTGTGTTTTGCTGATTAGCTGTGTAACGTTACAAAAGACTATTCTGAACTTGTTTTCTGTAAAATAGACATTAAAATATGTGTTTTTAATGAAGGTTACATTATATATGTAGATGAGTTTGTAATAGTGTTTTCAGTAAGTGAAAGTTTAAAAAAAAGACAAAACAAAAACCCAAACACTTAGCAGGGTAATCCAGAAAAACATCGCTCTTAGATGTGGATGTACTTGTTACTGTTCCAGTTCATATTAGCACTCTTTTCCACTAGATGGTGCTAGGGAACGCATTTTGGTTTTGGTTTTGTTCATTATCATAAATCACAGAAACAGACTTTCAGAGATAGAAGAAACTTTAGAAAAATCACTTTTCTTTTACTGATGATATTGAGCATGAGAAACTAATATTAAGGGTTGAAGATGAGTTAAGGAGGGAATATTGTAAGATTAAAACACAGTCCCCAATTTTGTAAGAATTATTTTTGGGTTGGGTTGAGGGAGATGTAAAATCAAAAAAAACTAACACAAATAAATGAACCAGGAAAAGGAAGAATGGAATGGTTTGTATCAGTGTATAAAGGGTTCCAAGTTACAGTCTGTATGTTACAGGATGTGTAATTTGAAATCTTTTTTCAGTGGTGTTGCTAATCAGAATCATATTGGATATGAGAATCAAAGTGGGCCAAAGGGAGAAATTTATGTTCACCTTAATAGTCTTGTTTATATCTTGAAAATACTAAAATTATTTTTTAAGATTGTATTTTCTGTAAAACATACTTTATGGCATTTTTTGACTTGTATAATAGCATCCTTCATTGACCTAAGTGGGGTTTTTTTTATTATTTTTATTGTTGTAATTTTTAGTATTTCGTGAACTCAGTTGATTAGTGTCCAGTATTATTGAGGTCAGGGTTCCAGAGGTCAATTCCAGACACTGTGGGCCCTTTAGATTTTTTACATCCCCTAATTTTCCATCTGTTTATATTCATACCACTTCATCCTAAGAAAAACAGAATTTAGGGCCAAAGAAATAGAAGAGCTGGGTCAGGAAATTGGAGTTTATTTAGAAGATGTATAAGATCCCTAAGGGATTCACAATGTGCTATAGTATATTGAAAGTTTACTGAGAAGGCCTGTAGTACAGGGACTTGTTTAACTTGAACATTTTTTCTCAAGATTATATAACAATGAGTCCTGTTTATCTGAAACACGCATATTGTTTGGCACTAGTGTTCTGTAGACATGTCGGGAAACAAAGAAATGACAAATTGCTGACTGTCTAGAAACAGAGTATTTGAAATTTAAAGAAAATCTCTTTGTACTTATAGCTAATTTACTTTAGATTTTCTGAGTTTTTAGGAAATTAGATGGAAAAATAATTTTCCACTCAGATTTTTTTTTAAATCGACTTTAAGAATGAGGGAAAATTTATTGTTATAATTTGTTTAAGTATACACTAGTTACAAATATTTAAAAATTAATGATACAAGGAAACTGAAAATGGCCTGATCAAATCCTAATTCTTTAATTTCCCATGTAAAACAGGGAAGAAAAATATCCAAAGTCATGTACTTTGTTAGTGGTCAAATCTACCCTAACTTCAAGGCCAGTTCTCTTCTCTCTCTCCACAGAACTCTCTAAGATGCAATTTAATTATTAATTTCTACAATATTTATTTGGTATTTTTTGGAGAATCAGAGACCAAAATGCTCTAATTCCTAGAATGCAAAATATTTCTGATATTTTATTTTCCCAAATTCTGGGTAATCATGAAGTCTTGTGTAGCTTTTAATGGTCCACATTAAAACACATAACTTAGATTAAATAAACAAGAAATAGTAAAATTTAACTTTATTCTCTTTAGTAGCCAACTTCTGCTAGTAGAATTAGTGTTTGTGACAGGCCATTTTTATTTGTTAGAAACGTTTAAATGAGAAAGCATTGCAGACAACTGTATTATAGAGTTGTCTTAAAGGTATTAAGTCTACTTTCAAATATCCTTTATAGGTTCTTTCTGTCATATCTACTACCTAAATACGTAAAGGTTAAAAGTAAACAAGGACTGACTTTATGAAGTCCTTGAAAATGGTGAGTTAGAATTCATAGCAAGTTATTTTGTTTGTGTGGAAGGAGGAAACTAATGCTGATCCTTTTATAACCTGTTAAACTTGGGCTCTACTTTGTACCAAGAAGAGTAAAATCCCAATATACTTCCATTTCCCGTGGAATTCCTTCAGCTTTTACCTTGAGAAAAACAGTAATTTGATAAAAAAATTTTAGTTCTTACTGAATATAGACTTCAGATGGTATCTTCAGAAATACATTATGTGAGACTCCAAATTCTTTTTTGGAGGTATTTTATTGAAATTGAATTTTAAAAATATAGTGTTATGCTGTATAATTACATATATTCTATAAACCTGAAAATGTCTCCAGCTGTAAAGTGTTGAGAATAAATAGATTTAACAATTACAATATTTTAAATTTTTTTTTTTTAAATGACAGGATCTGTCTCAAGAAGACAATTTGAAGAACAGAGATCTCCAAAGACTAAGCATGTCAAGGTATGACCATTCTTCAAGATTAAACAAAACTACGTTTTCTTCTTCTATAGGCCACTTTGGATGGGTACCTAGATTTTTGTTATGATTTAATCTTTTTTAAAAAAAAAGAATGGATACAGAATGTAGTCTTTGACTATCTATATACACATATATATTTTTAATTTAACTGTTACTTAATAACAAGCTTGAATTTGATGAGTAGAAAAGTACATGCTTTAAACAGAAAATGTTGAACATCTAGTAATATTTTAAATACAATTTAAAGGTATGTAGAGGTATTCTCTAAGAAATCATGATTTTGTGCTTAAAGAATAATTTGTTCCAGTGATATCCCTTTGTCTCAAAGGCAAACTTGAACTATCAGTCTTTAGTATAACATGGACTATCCTGATATGATAAATACAAAAGTAGCCATCAGAATTATTTTACTTGTACTTTTTCCTCATACTTTACTTCAACCCTTACCACTTGTCTGTCCATTTGTCACACTTTGGTGGCTTGCATGTTACTGTGAGGCTGGAGGCTATGGCACCAGTATTTCAAACACCAGCAGGATCACCCATGGTGGACAAGTCTCAGCAGAGCTGCCAAACTAAGGCAGACTTGGTAGAAGGAAGGGGCCAGCCACTTCTCAAAGTGGCCAGTGAAAACCTTACTCATAACAGTGAAACACTGTCTAATATATTACCTCAACCTTCTTTTCTCAATTACATCATATTTACTTAAGTTACTTAAATTCTATGCTTTAAATTGATCTCATTTTGTTTGTTTCTGCTGAATTAGCAAGATTTCATTATTGGGATACCCCCAACCAATGGAAAATACAGATTTGACTTCATTGATAAACCGTTTGATGATTTGGCTTCCAAAGTTTTACTGACTTACATAAAGTGAATTATCTCTTACCTATTCCTTTCAAAAACAGAATTGAGAGAAATGATCAATTAAGAACAAATAATTGAGGTAATGATACTGAGCCAGAGGCAAGCTTTCTCTTATAAAGAGCCAGCTAGTAAATGTTTTAGGTTTTGTAGGCTATATGGTCTCTGCCATTTGAAGTGTACTTTGGTTATGTTTTTAACTTTTACAGCAAGCAAGGTTATCCTTTTTTTTTTTTTTTTTGAAAGAAAAAAAAAACAGTGTGTCAAGTACAGTGTCCATGTAAGGTATTTTTCAAGGTAGCAAAAAAGGAAAACTTTTGCCCTTTTTGTTCTGATCTCCACTTAACCTAGGTGCCTTCTTATTAATAAACTAGTTAATTTTATAAGCTGATTTAAATCATTTTGGAAAGAGGCAAGTCATAAATAAATGTTTCAATTGGTCAAATAAAGGGGCTGTTTATTATATTAGAAGTACATGATACAGAATAAGACTTCTACTTCCATTCATGGGTGATTATATAATTTGGATCAAAAGTCTCACTGAGAATAACTTTATAAGCTGATGACCCCAAAAGAATATCTATTTGAAGACATCAGATAATTCACAAGATAGTGAAGAATTTCTAGGCCAGGATTTGAGGGAGGATTAAAACTTAAGGAAGTAAGCAAGTTTTTTTGAGGCTCTTTTTTCCCTTGAGTCATTTGCTGGTTTTTGAAGGGGTGCTTTTGACAGTCTCAGAATCGGCTAGGTGAACAGGGATGGGAGTCAAGTGCCATGGACAGGGGATTGGCCTTGGTGAAATCATCTCCTATTGGGTTGGATCCTAAAGTGCTGTACCTCATGAGTAACTGAATGGAAATAGACTACAATTTAGTATAGCATCATCGCAGTCCCTGAAATTAAAGTCATCCCTGAGTGTTAATGTTCCCGATGGTATAGCCAAAGCAAAAGTAAATATTCCCTGGAGCATCATTTTAAACCTCCACATACGACGAAAAATAAGGGTTGTTAAGAAACAAGACAACATAGGCAAAAACCACCAGACACAAAAGATAATAGGTCCAAAAAAAGCAAAAGGTACTCTTAAACCACTTGCTTGGTTTAATAAAAAGCTATTCTTAATATGTCACAGAGGTAATAAATAAATAAAATGGAGAATTTCGGAGAATTTCAGAGAATTAAAAAGTCTAAAAAGAACCAGTAACCAGTAGGAGTTCTATAACTGAAAAATACAGTAACTGAAAGTAAAACCCACTACATGAGTTTAATAGCAGATAGAACAGAAGACAATATCCAGAAAGAAGGTATACAGATTCAGTTCTTCAGAAACTAAAGTCATTTTTGGTAGTGTGTTCCTGTGTGTGTGATAGGCAATGTTTTAGCTACACTGGGGTTATTAGCTTATAGGGCCCATTTAGAATGTAGCATTGATCAAAGCTAGGGTTTTGAAGAAGAAAAAATTAGGAAAGGTGGCTTTCTCAGACTAACAAATACTTCTACAGAGCTGTAATTGTAGCTTCCATTTGTAATCTTGAATTCTCTAAAGCTCATTATTTTAGAGCATTAGCTGAGAGAACAATTTTCTAAAAGGATCACCTAAAGTTCTCTCTAGGAGCACTGGTAGCATAGTGCCTAAGGCACTATGCTAACCAGAAGGCTGGTGGTTTAAACCCACCAGCCACTCCTAGGAAGGAAGGTTGGGCAGTCTACTTCCATAGTGATACTGCTTCAGAACCCAAGGAGGGGTCGCTATGAGTCAGGTCTGACTTGATGGCACATAACAACAACAAAGTTTTCTCTAAAGGTGTTGCCATTGTTAGTTGCCGTTGAGTTGGCCCTGACTCCTAGTAACTCTGTGTACAGCAGAACAGAACACTGCCCAATCGTGTGCCATCATCCTCAGAATCGTCATTATGCTTGAGCCCATTGCTACAGCCACTGTGTATATGCATCTCATGGAGGTTCTTCCTCTTTTTCACTGATCCTTTATGGGGAGCTCTGGTGGTACGGTGCCTATGATACTTGACTGCTAACCAGAAAGCTGGCAGTTCAAACCCACCAGCTACTTCTTGGAAGGAAGGCTGGGCAATCTACTTCTGTAGTGATACCGCCTTGGAAACCTTAGAGGGGTCCCTATGAGTTGGATCCAACTTGATGCAGTGCATTTGGTTTGGTTTACTTTATCAAGTGTGACTTCCTTCTCTAGGGACTCATCCCTCCTGATAACATGACCAAAGTATGAGAGAAGACGACGTCTGGCCATTCTCACTTCTAAGGAGCACTCTGGCTGTGCTTCTTGTATGTTGCTGTGATGCTGGATGCTATGACATAAGTATTGCAAATACCAGCCAGGTCACGAAGGGTGGACAGGTTTCATTGGAGCTTCGAGATTAAAACAGATGGTGAATTGCATAAATAATTAGGTTTTCTGTCTGGTTAGCAAGTAGAGAATTTTATAACTAAACTTGTGGCCTATTCTTAGCAAATTTTGTATCATGCATTTTTATTGACCTTATTCTTGACTGCAGTTTGCCTTTTTTTTTCCCTTTACTGCATCAGTACCCGTTTTTAAGTTTATATTGTGGCTTTTCATTCTTTGTGAATTATTTCATCCAGTTTTAAATAGAGACAACCCAGGTGATAAAAGTGTAGGTATTTGTAAGGATTATTTTTCAGTTATTTGGAAAATTTCCCTTTTTGGAACATTTCTTTTTTTATATCCTCCATCATGTTGCCAGGCAAATGAACTATTGTATAGTTTCCTTAAAACAGTGAACTTTTGAATTACTGGATGCCTTTTATATGGTCAATTTCAGACTGCAAAAGTTGGTAAAAATCCTGAGTTTCCTCATCTTTGGCTTTAGTGGTTGGTGCATCAATTTGAATAGTAGTATTAACTGGTTTTCCTTATAGGTGTGTATGAATATTGTCTTATCACTGACAGCATTGTAGTTCAGGATAGACCTGGAAACATCCTTTGTGATGATGAATGTTACACCATTCCTGTTCGACTTGTCATTCCTAGCATAGTAGATCATATGGTTGTCTGATTCAAAATGGCCAAAACCGTCTGTTTCAGCTCACTAATGCCTAGGATTTCACTGTTTCAGCTCACTAATGCCTAGGAAATGCCATTTCATTTTTGACAACTTCCAGTTTTCTTAGATTCATACTTCGCACATTCCATCTCCAATTATTAATGGATGTTTGCGGCCGTTTCTTCTCATTTTGAGTCCTGCCATGTCAGCAAATGGGGATCCCAAAAGCTCTGCTTTATCAATATCACTAAGATTGGTTATACGCTGATGAGGCAGCTCTTTTCCAGTCATATTTTGAGTACCTTCCGACCTGACGGTTCCTCTTTCAGCATTGTATCGGACAGTATTTCAGGGCTATTCATAAAGTCGTCCAGTAATATATCAGACAGTATTTCACTGCTACTCATAAGGTTTTCCTTGGCCAATTTTTGAGAAGCGGTTGGCCTCTTCCTTTTTCCGAGTCTGTCTCAGTCTGGACGTTCTGCTGAAACCTGTCCACTGTTGGTAACCCTACTGGCACAGCTTCCAGCCTCACAGCAACATGCATGCCATCATAGTTTGACAAACTGACACACAAGTTTATCTCCGTTAGCTGTTCTAAACTCCTCTGCTCATTTCCTGGCATTCCCCCTTACCTGTATCTGGTTGTCAGCCCTGGCTTCCTGCTTCCTGTCTGGGGGCTTTCTCTCACCTTACCCTTATATGGTTCTTGCCATACAAACATTATTTAACAGTGACAGCCCTGCCTATTTGAAATTTGGCCAGTATCTTGCCAATGTATTGTTTTTGTTGTTAGTTTTTATTATTGGCGCTATTCTTAAACCAAGGATTTCTGGTGCCACAGTGCCTAAAGCATTTGACTGCTAACCAGAAAGTTGGTGGTTTGAAGCACCAGCTACTCCATGGAAGGAAGAGGGGGAAGTCTACTGTTAAAGATTTATCACCTTGGAAATCCAGTGGGGTTGCTGTAAGTTGGCATCAATATAATGGCAGTGGTTTCGTTTTTGGTTTTATTCTTAAACAAGATTTAGGAATGGAGTTACTGTATTTCTTTTGCTCATCATCTGTAAACTTATATTG